CATGTTTATTAAAGTCACCTTTTGAGTGTTTTTCAAAGAAAAAGGGAGACTTTTGCCTTGGTGAAAGTGATAATGATATCATAATCCTACCAGTTTTGATCAGTGGCCTGTTGAAATGCTACCATATTATTTTACTGGATTCTAAGGTCCTTCAGGGAAAGGACTACCATTCTTTGAAACTCTATTGCCTTGTGGACCAGTAACATTTATAACATGGAAAACATACAACAACGTGAAAAAGCATTAAGTGTACTTCGTATCAAAAATACCACAGAAGCACCTAAATATATAAAGAGATTATTAACAGACATGAAAGGAGAAACAGACAGTAACACAATAATAGTAGGAGACCTTAACACTCCACTTACACCAATGGATAGATCATCCAAACAGAAGATCCATAAGGGAACACTGGCCTTAAATGACAGCTTAGACAAGATGGACTCAGTAGATATATACAGAACATTCCATCCAAAAATAGCAGAATACACATTCTTTTCAAATGCACATGGAACATTCCCCAGGATAGACCACATATTAGGCCACAAAATAAGTCTCAATAAATTTAAGAAGACTGAAACAATACCAAGCATGTTTTCTGAGCTAAAAGATATGAAACTAAAAACGAACTACAGGAAGAAAATCAGAAAAACCATAAATATGTGGAGATTAAACAAAATGCTACTGAACAATGATTAAGTCAATGGAAAAATAAAAAAATACCTGGAGACAAATAAAAATGAAAATACGCCAAAATTTATTGGAATATGGCAAAAGCAGTTCTAAGAGGCAAGTTTACAGCAATACAGGCCTACCTCAACAAACAAGAAAAACCTCAAATAAACAATCTAACAGTGCACCTAAAGGAACTGGAAAAAGAAGAACAAACAAAGCTCAAAATCAGTAGAAGGAAAGAAATAATAAAAATCACAGCAGAAATAAATGAAAGAATAAAAAAAAATAGAAACAAATCAATGAAACCAAGAGCCAGTTATTTGAAAAGATAAACAAAACTGACAGACCTTTAGCTGGGCCCACCAAGAAAAAGACAGAAGGCTCAAATAAATAAAACCGGAAATGAAAAAGGAGAAATTACAACAGATGCCTCAGAAATACAGAAGATTATAAGAGAATCCTATGAAACCAATACGCCAACAAATTGGATAATCCAGAAGAAATGGATAAATTCTTAGAATCATACAACCTTCCAAAACTGAATCAAAAATAAATAGAGAATTTGAATAAATCAATCATGAATAAGGAGACAAAACAGTAATCAAAAACCTCCCAAAAAATAAGAGTCCAGGACCAGATGGCTTTCCTGGTGAATTCTACCAAACATTCAAAGAAGACTTAGTACCTATCCTTCTCAAACTCTTCCAAAAAATTGAAGAGGAAGGGAAGCTTCCTAACTCATTCTACAAAGCCAACATTACCCTGATACAAAACCAGAAGAGGACAACACACACACACACACACACACACAAAATAGGCCAATATCACTGGTCAACACCGATGCAAAAATCCTCAACAAAATACTAGCAAATCGAATATAACAATACACTAAAAAGATCATATACCATGATCAAGTAGGATTTCTTCCAGGGATCCAGGGATAGTTCAACATCCACAAATCAATCAGCATGATATACCACTTAACAAAATTAAGAAAAACCACATGATCATCTCAATAGATGCAGAGAAAGCATTTGACAAGATACAGCATCCATTTATGATAAAAACTCTCACTAAAATGGGTATAGAAGGAAAGTACGTCAACATAATAAAGGCCATATATGTCAAACCCACAGCTAATATCATTCTCAATGGAGAAAAACTGAAAGCTATCCCTCTTAAGAACAGGAACCAGACAAGGATGCCCACTTTCACACTCTTATTTAACATATGATTGGAAGTCCTAGCCAGAGCAATCAGGAAAGAAAAAGAAACAAAAGGAATTCAAGGGGCCAGCCCAGTGGCGCAGTGGTTAAGTGCGCACATTCCACTGCAGCAGCCCAGAGTTAGCCAGTTCGGATCCCGTGGGTGGACATGGCACTGCATGGCAAGCCATGCTGTGGTATGTGTCCCATATATAAAGTAGAGGAAGATGGGCACAGATGTTAGCTCAGGGCCAGTCTTCATCAGCAAAAAGAGGAGGATTGGCAGATGTTAACTCAGGGCTAATCTCCCTTGGGGAAAAAAAAAGGGATCCAAACTGGAAAGGAAGAATTGAAATTGTCACTATTTGCCGATGATATGATTTTATATATAGAAAACTCTAAAGAATCCACAAAAAAACTTTTAGAAATAATAAATGAATATGGTAAAGTTGCAGGATACAAAACCAACGTACAAAAATCAGTTGTTTCTATACACTAACAATGAAATAGCAGAAAGAGAAATTAATAAAATCCCATTTACAATTACAACAACAAAAAAATAAAATACTTAGGAAGAAACTTAGTCAAAGAGGTGAAAGACCTATGCACTGAAAACTATAAAACATTGTTGAAAGAAACTGAAGACACAAAGAAATGGAAAGATATCCCATGCTCTTGAATTGGAAGAATTAACATAGTTAAAATGTCCATACTTCCTAAAGCAATCTACAGATTCAACGCAATCCCCATCAAAATTCCAATGACACTTTTCATAGAAATAGAACAAAGAATCCTAAAATTTATATGGAAAAACAAAAGACCCAAATAGCCAAACGAATCTTGAGAAAAAAGAACAAAGCTGGAGGTATCACACTCTCTGATTTCAAAATATACCACAAAGCAATAGTAATGAAAACAGCACAGTACTGGCACAAAAACAGAGACACAGATCAATGGAACAGAATTGAGAGGCCAGAAATAAACCCAATACGTCTATGGACAGAAAATTTTTGACAAGGGAGCCAAGAACATATAATAGAGAAAAGAAAGTCTCTTCAACAAATGGTGTTGGAAACACTGGACAACCACATGCAAGAGAATGAAAATAGACCACTATCTTACACTATACACAAAAATGAACTCAAAATGGATTAAAGACTTGAACGTAAGCCCTGAAACCATGAAACTTCTAGAAGAAAGCCTAGGCAGTATGTTCTTCAAACTTTGCTTAGCAGCATATTTTCAAGTACCATGTCTGACCAGGCAAGGGAAATAAGAGAAAAAATAAACAAATGGGACTACATCAAACTAAAAAGCTTCTGCACAGCAAAAGAAACCATCAACAAAACAAAAAGACAACCTAACAATTGGGAGAATATATTTACAAACAGTATATCTGATAAGGGGTTAATATCTCCAATCTTAGAGGAAAAAGTGCACTGTTGGCTGTTGACATGTACCAAAAGGTGAAACTGTGGGCTATAGAAAGAAAATTTTATTTTTCTTCAAACAAGTAATTGTGGCAAAAGTACTATGCCTCCTCCCTCCATACAATCGATTTAGAATGAAGAACATATCATTACTTCATGATAGTATGTTTTTACAAGTTCCTCACATACTAATAAAGTGGCATCCTGAAATAGAATATATAAAAAAGATTTTAAATAATGTACATGGCTTTCTGAACATTTTAAGGGAAGGTGCTAAAAAATCTAAGTATCTTTATGAAATACCCCATGGTTAAATTTGCAAAATTAGGTTTAGACTTTCAGATTCATCAGAAACTTTTAATTCCACTCGAGAGGTTTCTAATACCCACTTTCCTCCTTTTTTTCATTTTTGTCATTCTAACATTCCTTAGATAATCTCCATCAAAAGATAATAAACAGGAGGAGGAGGGAAAGAATAAATTCATTCACTTCAATGCTTATCAGTCACTAAGTGAGAAATTTATTTGTAGGGGTTGAGAAAAAAGTAAGGTGATAGCAAAACATTAAATTGGTACAAAGATGCTGGGAATTGTCTTTCAATTTCATTCATCCACATTAGCAATCTTCTCTAGGTCTGGCTATTATGTTTTCTGGACACAGATCCTCTATAGCCCAAAATCTTTTTTCGCGAAAATTCTTTCATTCATCCTACATGCATGTACAGAGGGCTAACTGGGCCCATGCACTGTTCTAGGTACTAGTACACAGCAAAAAACAAAACTGAAGTACCTGTCCTCATAGCTAATTTTAAGAAGTATAAAGATATAGCATGCTGGATAATGCTAAATGCTATGATGGAAAAATCAAACAGGGAAAGAGGGATATGAAGAATCCAGGGCAGAGGAGGAGTTGAATTCTTAAATTCAGTGGTCATTTATCCTCACGCTCCTCCCTAAAAAAAATTAAAATTTAAAAATCTACACATAGGTATTTTTGTAAGCACCAAATTATATTGCAGGACGTATTAAGAACAAATTTCTATTACAGAAAATAGTTGGATAACCTTAAAAATTATAATTTTAATGGAAGAATGGCCATTGTTTAACTTTTTAAAAATTGCCTCATATCACTTTTATAAGCCTGCTAGTAACATAGGTAGATATATCTTTTATTTGTGATGCGATCAATCCTATGATAAAACTTAATACATACCACAATGTTCACCAAGTAATCAGAAAATACCATTAAAATCTTGAAAAGATTTTTTTCATATCTTGTCTTGACTAATTTGATGAATTTTGGATGGGCAGAACAAACAGCTCTTCAATATATGGTACAACTGATGTCCAGCTACATTCAATAGTGACTGAAAAACATTTAATGTAGGGTTTTTTCCCCTTTGAAAACTTTTGCTGTAATGGGGACATATCTCTCAGGCAAGCTGAGCTATTCTTGGGTAACATGAAATTCCCTGAGAACTCAGAAGGCTGCTTCCTTATCGAGGCAAGCTTGCCAAGTCAAGCTTCTGTTGGTTACTACCACAACCTAGACTACCTCAGTGATGGACATAAAAACTTTCAAGAAATCTGAAGTGCTCTCAAATTACTCAGTTTATGACTCTTCCCAGCATTTTATAAAACCAAATATTTTTAACAGTAGGAATATTAGAAATTCTATCCCCAAAAAATACCTCCATGGTGATGCGACAGGCTCCCTCCATTAGCGAGGATTTCTTCTCTAGCAGCTGCCTGTATTTGGAGAAAATACGACAAACAGTTGCTACTTAGATTTCACTTTGAAGTGAAAGAGTAAGACCCAGCTCCCAAAGGAGGCACATACTTCCTGGGTTAAATAATAAACTAGAAGCCTAATTTTCCTTTTCCCCTAGGTTAACTACATTCAAAAAGCAATTAAAATATACAGCCTAGCTTTATTAGTTTTTTTCTAGTGAGTAGTCACAATGTCTACTACAACAGTCACTTTGAGATTCTAGAAAAGAAAAAGAAGGCAAAACGATCAATTCAGCAGCACTAAATTGTTAATAATAAAAAAAATTTCATGAAGACAGAGTCTAGTCCTATTCAGCAGTAAACATCTCACTATATCAACAAACACTAGTAACCGACATTTATTGACTGCTTGTTCTACGTCCAGAAAAGTACTAAGCAATTTACCCACAGTAACTTATTCTCACTATAGCCTTATGGAATAATTATAATTACTCCTATTTCACAGATAAAGAAAACGAGGCTTAGATGCTTAAATTACTCACTTAATATCATACAGTGGGCATCGGACTCAAGATTACTTACAAAGCTATCAGGGATCAACCATAAAAGCTGTTATGGAGAACATTTCTTAGGTCAATGTCTTGGGACAAATTACTTGTCAGGCCTATGGATATCTAAGTGTGGGGAAAAAACCCTCGTTTTATCCTCCTAACATGTTAGGCCCTGACTAGGCTCCCTATAGAGCACAAAGGTTAGAAAGATTAACACTTAAAGCAAAATACAGAATGACTGACGTGCAGGGTGAAAAAAGGGTAACAGAAACTGGAATTACATACAATTTCTGAGTATACAATAGCCATGAGGTGAAATATTTACAGTACCTTTAACCTCTCAGAATTACTCGGGTATGGATAAGCCATCAGGCGTTCGGGCCCAGATGGGACAGATGGACCACATCTCATTGCAAAGTAATTTATAAGAATCCTCATCACTTAGGATTTAGGGTTTTTCAAATGAATCATAAATATGGAAGCCCTGCTCTAAGAGATTATATCTTCTAACAAATTATTTTAAATAAAGCAATAGCTACCTGAAATCAGGAGCACTTGGAGAATGGCAGTTTAGACTGGGAAAGAAGGAATAATTTCACTCTTGTAGTACTACAGGGACGGGGCCTCTGGGTAGCCAGAGGGCAATACTGAAACACTGAAAGGCTAAGGTGATGGGAAAGTAACCGAACTTGTGTAGGTGATAGACATGCTCATCATTTTGATTGGAGTGATGATTTCAGAAGTGTACACATTAAGTCAAAACTTTAAATAAGTGCTGTTTACTGTATTTCAGTTATACTTCAAAAAAGCTGTAACAACAACAACAACAAAAGGTTGGGGGAGGCATAGGAGGGAGCCAACCAAACCCTATCTGTGGTTTAGGTCTAAAAGTGTGCCACTGAAAATCACCCTGTGGGACTATCTTCGGCAGGCATGCAATACCGTTAAAACCCTAGGGCACCCGAGGTTTTAACAAAGCTCAAGTCTCTTCTTGGTTCCTCCACAGTCTAGTCTGTTTCTTCAACTCTAGGTACACTTGCAATGAAAAATACTGACCATCAAACAGAAGGCTTTATAAAAATTAGAAGCTTAAGGCCATTTAAGAAATGTAATAGAAACTGCTAGCAAATGAACCTCAATAGACTACATACAGTTTTAGCAAACAAAAATTTATAAACCTAGAATAAGGACATTACAGCAACATAGACCAGGAGCATTAGGGCTGCTGACCTCAACAGCAGCCACCACCTGAGATGGATGGGCTGCCAAAGTGGTATCAAGGATTCCTACAGTTTGTATTTAGTTTTATCAGGTATTACATACTGTAAGTAACAATCAAAGAAGCACAGGCTACAGAACATTAATTTTAGACTATTAATTCTAAAATATGTAGAGAATATTAATTTTAAGCTCACAATTCAGTATACAATCCAGTGCAGCAAATATGCTTTTTATTTCTATGGGCTATCAACCAGGTAAGCCACGAGTGATTAAAGAGACTCAAACTAAACATTCATAAATCGATAGTAAAGTTTATTTAAACTAATACAAGTATCAAAGAGCTATATTCATGGATGTAAAATTACCTCGGTCTGTTCAAACACAGTCAGTGGGTCACTTATTCCCCTGTAGTTAAAGGCAAAGTAGAAATAGACACATGCACCTGCATCATATGTCTGCGTCACCCTAAAAAACAAACAGACAAAATCCCCGCAAGGCTTTAAGTTAAGTGAAATCAGATATAACATCTAGAAACTTAAAGGCAAGATCATCGGAATGATTTGCTTAAGCCACTCTCTCATTCTCTACCCAGACTCCTACTCCATGGAAGCAACACAGATTGGCTGGATGAAGGATCTATAGGAACTAATTGCACTATTTCTTACAATTTTGCTAAGTCTGGATTATCATCCAAAAAAAGTTTAAATTTAAAAAAAAAACAAAAAAAAGTTAAATTTAAAAACAATGTAAATGTTTCTCCAATTGCCCTGAAATAAACAAAACCCCACCATTCACACTTTCATTCTCAGAAAGAATTTTTTTTTTCATGAAGTATCTTGCAGTTAAAGACAGTCCCAAAACAGACTAAGTGGAACTTGGTGATCCATTGTATCTTCTACAGTTTCTCAAAGTTAACAGAAATAAGTATGAGAACTTAAAACTAGGAAACAAGAGAAACGTTCAAATACCAAAAATGATTAGACTGGGTAAACTACAGCATTCTCCACCAAGTTCACATGAAAAATTAATATGACTTTGAAAACAAATTGAATGATCATATCAAATGCAGTGACGTGACCTTAAAATAGTGTCTCTGAAGGTTTTATACTCTGGGTCCCCTAAGTGTGCATGTTGTGTGTGATTACATAAGATATCAAGAATGTTAGATTATGAAATCATAATCTGATATATATTTGGGCTTTCAAAATGCAATTAGATGAAGCATTTAAAAGGGAGCTAAGGTAATCATAGTCAAATCTCTGAATGCAATTTACAGAGGTTCCCACAAAGAATTTAATTTAACAGAAGGAGCAAATACAGAAAAAATACTCTTTTTACTACACAATACAAATAGAATCTAATCTAAAATTTTAATGGCCTTTTAGGCCAAATGTTAGGTGGCTGAGAACAGAAGAAATGAACTGTTTAACAATGCTACTGTCAATTTGCCAGCTGTGTTTTTCTTCTAGTGTTAATCACACCCATAAAAAAGATCGCTTGAATGTTTACATTTTAAGCACCAGATTTACAAAGTTTAAGAAAAATGGAGAACCATTTTGACTATGAGGACATTATCACTAGGAATAACAAACTTAAAATAAATTTAAAGGATACATGAATGAAATGAGTTTATAGAAATTAGTAAAATATACATTACTCATATGAGAATCATTAATATCAATAAACAGAAAATGTAACTAAATATTAATAGAGCAGTGCCATCTTCCAATAAATCCAGGATCTATATTATACAGTTCCGTTTTTGTAGATAAGTAGGCTTCTAAAGTTACAACACAACTTGACTGATCAGTATCGCCGGCCTGGTGGTGCAGTGGTTAAATTCACACGTTCCGCTTCTTGGCGGCCTGGGGTTCGCCGGTTCGGATCCCGGGTGGGGACATGGCATTGCTTGGCAAGCCATGCTGTGGTAGGCATCCCACATACAAAAAGTAGAGGAAGATGGGCACGGATGTTAGCTCAGGGCCAGGCTTCCTCAGAAAACAGAGGAGGACTGACAGTAGTTAGCTCAGGGCCAATCTTCCTCAAAAAAAAAAAAAAGACAAAGTAGAAATAATGAAAACATCTTTTGGAAAACTTCAATTTGGGTCCATTTCAGAAAGTGACTCAGATATAACACCTTTTAATAGATCAGTTCTATCATTTAAGCACTTAAACACCAACCTCTTACAAAATCATGGGGACAAGTGACAGTGTGGCTGCCAAAGTCATTATATTATTCTTCAATTTCTAAAAATCTTTTGAGCTCTACACTTTCAGAGTACTTTACTTGTATTAGAATCACTGGCTAAGAATTCCTTCCCATAAAATTTCTTCACAAAGTTTAGGGTTAAAATTTCTATTCCAATATACAAAGTGCCTTTTAATGGATAGAAATGAAATACAGTTATGCGCTGCTTAATGATGGGGACACGTTCTGAGAAATGCATCATTAGGCGATTTCATCATTGTGTGAACATCATAGAGTGTACTTACAGAAACCTAGATGGTATAGCTTATTACATACCTAGGCCGGATGGCAAGAATCTTATGGGATCACCATCATATATGTGGTGCATCACTGACCAAAATGTTACGCGGCACATGATTGTAAATGAACTCAATAAATGCACCCTACAACTGAATTATTTTCCTTGGGATCTTTGATTTCAATGAGATATATAATTATTTAAAATTAATTTTGGAATAGCTTTTTTAAAAACTAGTTTAAAGAATACATCCCACACATTCAACATATACATTCAACACAGAATAATTCCCTTGGCCACATTAAGCAGTTCAAATCAAACTAAACTAAAATCAAACTCTAGTTAAATGTTAGGTTAATCAAATATAAGCTGTAAGAACTATATTTAAAACTCCTATTTATCAAAACCATTCAAATAACTAGACTTTGCACATTCTAAACTTTGGTTTTCTAAGATGATCACAGAAGCTGAGCATACAAGCTTTTATCAGAAAATCATTCTCAAAAAAACAGGTACTTAACAAATGACATGGCCAGTTTAGTCTATGTATACCAATTCTATCTCTGCTACAACACGTAATGAAGATCCTTAGGCCTACCTTCTGAAGAACTAAGACTTAAGTGTTACTACAGAAGGTGTTCTAAGGCAGAATATCCCAATCACTTTCACTAAGTAGTGGTTTATCACAATGACACTTTTATAATGGAAGAGGAGAAGTCTCGAGAGATGCTGACTAGGGAGGTGAGCAGAAGGAAGGAGTGACAAAATCTGCTAAGTTACTACTTGACAAAATAAAGGAATAAGAACTCTCGGCTACAAAAGAACAGATTCAATTATTTAAAGTGTTTCAAACTTCACTGGTAATAAATGATTTATGGATTATTAGGGCTGATTTTTTGTCAGTATTTTACTAAGAGGCCTGACAGACTAGACCGTCAGAAGAAGAACCAAGTATCAGTCAGGGTTGATAACGTAAATAAATTTTTTTTCTTAGATTTTAAGATAAAAGGTTCATTTTTAAAGATACCTCCAAATTAAAAAAAAAAAAAAGAACATGTACATTCTTACATCTTTATTTGGAAAGGTTCTAAGACCAGTCACTAAGCCACCAGTAGCTTTACCAAGATTTTTACTGTACAGAACAAGGCCCCTATTTTCCCTTCCTTCAGATATATCAAATGCCCAGGCAATAATCTCTAAAAATCCACATTTTTGGGTTTTACATTCTCTGATTCTACCCCGAATATACTTGTTCTAAAACAAGTTAATACATAGACTTGACTTGGTACTTCCTGAAATGCTCTTCAAACCCTGACTCTCTCTTCCACAAAGAAGCAGAAGAAATAATTTCAAGGAGATCTTTCTGATTAACATGAACAGTTAATGTGTAAGAAAGATGATTTCCTCACATCTCATGGTAGAATTTTACTTTCTTACCCAGCAGAGGCACGATTTAGCAAATTCTAAAAGATACCTGTCCCAATGGGGGCAATAAGTAGAACTAAGAAACACAATATGGTAGTAGGGAAGTACAAAATGAGAGAGTGTAAAGATAGAGAAAAGAAGAAAAAAATCATAGGAAATAGCAGTTGAAAGAGTATAGAAGTATTTCTAGTCTTGCAAAGCAAAGGAAATTACCGTGCTATGTCAAAATACCAAGAGGGTTTAACAATTGGATGACTTCATAAGGATTTGGCATTGAGGAAGAAAAAAAAATACCCAGATTTTCCTTACTAATACTAGTATGGATTGTCTACCATAACCTTAACGTAATTATATCACAATAATAGATGGCATTTATATAGCCCTTCTAGGCTTTCTCGTTTCATTCTTATAACAGTCCCATCAAGTAGATGGTATTACCACTAATCTACTAATGATCTACTAATCTACTAATGATAAATTTAGAGCTCAAAGAGCTTAAATTACTAACAAACAGCAGAACACTGCCTTAACCCTTAGACACACGTAATGTTACAAAACAAAGAAACTACCAATAAAGACATTACACTATTTCCAAAATTTCCCATATTTATTCATGCTTATATTGCAAGTTTTTACGTTTCTATAATAAATATTGGCATTATGTCCTTGAAAACCACACACCCAAGCACACCCCACACACGAAAAAAAAAGAGAAGCAATTACATAATGCAGAACAGAATGTTCAATAACCTTTAAAGTGCTGGATTGCTACTGTATCATTTACTTTACGGCCCCTGTTCTCATGATCTGTCCTAATTTCCCTTTATTCTCCCTTCCAGTTAATCCTGTAACTTTTTAGAGAAGTCAAATGCTTGATTCAATCCTGATACATTTAATCTTTTGGTGGTTACACAGAAAATTAGTGTCAAAAGATTGAATACAAAGTGCCTTTTCTCAAGAATACCTCCTTTTGGGCTATGGCTATTTTACAAAGAGGACAAGGTCATCAGTTAACCATGATCCAATATGGAAGACACTAGCTACATGTGGTGTTTTAAATTTAAATTATTTGAAATCACATAAAATTTAAAATTCAGTTCCACAGTCACACTAGCCACATTTCAACAGCTCAACAGCCACATGTAGTTTGTGGCTACCATACCGAACAGGGCAGAAAGAGAACATTTCTATTATCGCAGAAAGATCTATTGGAAAGCAACAAGTTACTCTTCATTTGGATCTTTCGTTCCACTCACTCCTTTATTCCACACCCATTCATTTAATCCACAACTAAAAAATGGTTAAACTGCTTTTTCTCTGTTGAAGAAAGAGCTATGCTGACTGTGTATATAATTTATAGTTTCTTGACTATGTATGTAATTTATAGTTTCAGTGAATGAAGGAGTCCTTCTCTTATTCCAGGAGCTCAGACATCTGGCTCTTCACTGCCATGCTGTCCAGATAGGGTAGAAGGCTCACTCAAGAAAGGGTGTTCTACTCCTAAAGGGCTCAGGACTACTGTAAAATCGTAATGGCACAATCCTAACGAGGTGGTAAGTGAAGTTGAGAAAGGCTTGCTAAGTGGAATAGACTGAAGCTTTTCCTCAGCTGGCAAATTACACTACTCCATTAATTAAAAACTAGTTTTTTCCAGAATAAGAAATATAAATATAAGCATAAAAAACACTCACCTGCATGTAGAAAGAGGAGCAAACTGAACACCCTTCTCTTTGCATTCTCTTGTTATTCTTTCTTTTACATTTCTACAGAGATCTACAACCCTAGAAAACATAATTGAATACAAAATTAAGTTTTCAAGTAAGTTACAAAAATTCTAATAAATGCTGGTTTATCTGGCATCCTTCAAGTCAGAAATTCTCTTAACTAAAACTTTCATACTTATTCCTCCAAGAATGAACAAGCTTTGATCATTCAAACTGAGTCTTCTATTCAAGAGAATACTCAAATCTCCTGAAGGTAGTTTTCTATACTGAGGAAAACCCAATTTCAAAATAAATTTAATTGTAAGATTTTAAAAGCTTTGAAAAAAAATCAATCTATATCCATGGCTAAGAAGTATTCCTTAATTTAAAAATAATTTAATTAATAATCATGTTATACAAATGTTCAATAGCCTATTCTCAAGCACTGAGCTAAAATCCAGTTCAACAGAGACTTACGAGGCATGAACTATGTGTAAAGTTATGCTAGACTGTTTGATATTAAAAGTCAATGAAAACAGACCAGTGAGGGACAGTTCTTAAAGGGGATGAGGGATTGATAATATTTAATAATATTGATCTATTTTTTAATGTGAGCTGTAATGTAATATTATAACCACATATTTTGTTTCATTGGGAAAATAAAACTCTTAAGGTATATATAAGCCATTTTATTCTCCAATAAACATCCTGGCTGCATACTGACACTGATTCTGGGCTTCAAACTTTAGTCTGTTTAAAATCTGGAGAACTTTTCTTTGAAAAGATAAAAGAATCTCAGAAGGCTGGCCTATTTCTAGTCTTAAGACTTATTTGACTATGTGAGAACCAATTTGATAAAAATAACATTTAAATGGATTATGCTTTATAAAACACATTGAAGTTATCTTTATTTCCAATAAGAATAAAGAACATATGATTAAACTATAAATATGAAAAAGGTTTTAGTGTTTTATTAGCATGTCAAATTTTATTTTTATATTTATATTTTTATAAATAAAATCTGGAAGATTTATAAATTCTAATTTTACTAAATTCTGCTTTATTCTATGAGAGATACGGGCAAATACAATTTATCAATGTTATCTATGCCTCATTTATGGAATGATAAGGATGCATGTTTTTAAAACATCTCTTGCAAAGCACTTAGACTACTGAAATTTAATGTGTCTTTAATTTGAAAAACCAACTTATAAAACAAATACTTTAAATATAAATATAGGGCCAGCCCCATGGCCTAGCGGTTAAGTTTGGCACGCTCCACTTTGGTCACCCAGGTTTGGCTCCTGGGCACAGATGTACACCACTCATTGGCGGCCATGCTGTGGTGACAACCCACATACAAAATAGAGGAAGACTGGCACAGACGTTGGCAAATCTTCCTCAAGTGAAAAGAGGAAGATTGGCAACAGATGTTAGCTCAGGGCAAATCTTCCTCAGCAAAAAATAAATAAATAAATAAAAATAAAACCTACTAAGCTTTAATAGCTATGGGGGTTAAGAATATTACAAACTTATAAAAGTAACAAGTTCTTTATCATGACTCCAGAAAATGGAATTTAAGTGCTACATAATAATACATAATAGTAATAATGAGGAAGAAAGGGGACAAAGAATAGCACTGGACGGTTATAACCCTCAATGGGATACTTTCTAGAAATGATTTGTAGAGAGGGAATTCTAAAAGTATTCTCCCACAGAACTTGTGCAAAGGTCAATACAATCCTTTTGGACCAATCATTATATAAGAGATAAACATAACTGTGTATTCTTTTAAATTCTTACCTGACCTATTAGCAAATTTAACACTGTTGACCACTTCCTCCTTGAAAAAAACTTCCCTGGGCTTCTCTCACATCACTAGTTTTCCTCTAAATCCTCTAGATATGATTCCTCAATCAATTTTGCTACTTCTTGTTTGTATGACTATCCTTTAAATCCTGGGGTTCTCTGGGCTTCTTTCTTTGGCTCTCTTTTTTTTCCTTCATCCTTACTGTCTCTATACCCACTCCTTTGGTTTTAATCACAAGTCTCATGCTGGTGTCTCCAAAATCTTTAAATTTCCAACTCAGACCTTTTAGACAGCCATTTTCATAGGCTGCATTCTTACACTATTCCAGAGTTCACGCACAGGACTCTAGGCAGACTATTCATTGAGCACCTAACAGGTGTAGTCACTGTTCTAGGGCCACTGAGGAATACACAAAAACTAGTAAGGTGACGAATCCCTCAAGACACTTAGGCATGAAAAGCCCAAGCAACCTAATAATGTATGAGAGTTGAAGACCCTCATCCCATGGGTTGCTGCTAAACATGGTCCCTACCCAGCCAAAGGTGTGAAACAAAATGGGTTGCTAAATGGGTAGGAATGTAGCTGCTTTCCCTTAACGTTTTTTTATTAAAACTTCAGCTAAGGAAGTTGTTTTAAATGGAAACAAACCAAATATGTAACCCTGTTTAAAAGAGATATTGTCAGTGAGTCAATTAAACAAATATATAAGTATATACAAGGAAAGAAGAAAGAGAAATGAAAACATAGTGCATGATTAGCTTCCACAGTTAGAAGAATAAAAAGACAAAATGGCAATCATCAGTTTGTAGTAACTGATGACAAGGAAATTCATAAGACTGAAGAAGTAACACTACACTAGCCCACTTTCTCCAGCAAGGAAAGGGGTTAAAGACTCAAGTGGTCTCTGAGACAACTATCAACAGTGGCCAAACTACATCTCCTGTTCAAAAGCGTCAGATGGTGACGAGTGGATAATTCTTTTTATTTACAAGATTTATTCCCCTTAAAATTGAACTTAACTAAATTTAGCATCAAAAATTGTGAATAACAGATTGACACTATAATTTAGTTATTATCTTACAACACAAAGAATATCAGCATCGATGTACCAAAAGTCATAAACTACAGAAGATGAAGACTGAATGGAGAAAAGTAAAAAGTTTTCTGAAGGAGGAACAGAAGATGCTAGGGTAGAACAAAAATGTTAAGATATGTAATATCTAAAAGGTGGATTCATGCGGATTTGTTATATCCTATATACCTTATGGTAGATTTAAAATAATTTGTACATTTTATAAAGAAAAAGTAAAATGTAAGGTATACTAGAATAAAATGTACTAACAATCTCAAGAATTATTACTGAATGAGTTAACTCACAAGTCCATTTTTAATAAAACAACTTCATATTTCCTAATCAGTTATTATTAATTCCCTAACCAATATTTGTATGTGTAATTTAAAAATAGAAACTGTACAAAATTTCTTAAATTGGATTTCTTTCAGAAATCACTTAAATGCAGGTTAAGACCTTGCTTAATAATACATATACAAATATCAAAAGCTAAATGATGTATTACAAAAGAAGATCAACAGGTTTTACAATTTGGGAGGACTTTTTAGACAACATTTAAGCATACTAATCACATAAGAATTTAAATCAAAGCTAAGTAAAACCAATAGTGACATTTAATGTTCAATAAGATTCATTAAAATGTAAACTTCAATAATACCTTCCTTCTACGTGACATGGACAAATTTGCCTAAAACTGAAAAAATGGTTTGCAAAAATGACATTCTAATGAATTTAAATATTAAGATAGTAATTTAAATAAAAGTGATTCCCTGTTTCAATGTTTTTTAATAAAATTTTAAAAGTTTACATAATCACACACAAAGATATATTACTTCAGCAACTCATATAGCATATTTTAATAATATCAAGCATTTTATTTCATTTTACCTGTCCCAAGGAGCGGAAGTCTCAAAAGATTCTCCTAATACATAGTATTCCAAACCCAGGTCCTGTTAAGACACATACACAAAAATCAAGAAATTCTAACAGATGCAGAAGAATCAATGATACACTAGTATTTCATCTAATTGTTAGCATTACATGTTTCTAATTTAACCACCATGGCTCTTTACTATCCACCTGATAGGAGCACTGGAAAGTGGCCCCAAGAGTGAGCTATAACCTCCGGAGGACAGGATCTTTGTCTGTCTTCTTCTCCTCTGTACCTTTGGCACCAGGCAGAGTGCCAGACATGGTAGGAACTCAAATCTTTCTCCAATGAATGGCGTCTCTAGCCAGTAACTATGTACATGTAGAGAATATTAGCAGAACAGATTTTCAGTGGTCTAAGCAGTAAATTAACCAATACCAAAAAGCGGTCATCAGGATCAAAGGAACAGGGAGGGGAGAATCGGGGGGAGGAGGGGAGAGGAAGTAGGACTAGAGGAAGGAGACGATAGCTCCCTTTCTTAAAATCAATTTCTAGTTAAAAACAAATTAGAAAACATACGGCCTCTCTTTGTTGTGACTGAATAGATAGAACATCTGGAAGCACCTCTGCTAGGAAAATATATTTTATAGTACAGAAGATATAATGCTCATATGATAAGTAACTTACAATACTACTTTCTTTACCCTGAGTACAAGTGTTTTAATATTGAAACTGGAAAGAGCAATTTACAAGCCACCACAGAATTGCAAAGATATGAAAGAAGATTTTATAAGGTAGCAAAATTAATACATATTAAGTTTTCACTTCTAGTAAAATGAATCACTTTAACTTTTCCTGGTTGGCAGGAAAAATCCCCCAAGTTATGGATCTGAAATGTGTGTTTTCTCTCTTACGCATTTATTTATTCAGTAAACATATATTTGGTGACAATAGTAAGCACCGGGAAAATAAAAAATAAGATAAAACACGTAACCTCTCCCCCCAAAAAAATCTCTAACTTGCTTTTGATTCAGCTTTAACATTAACTGGAACATTAATAATAAGAAACTTACTCCAAACTGTGTCTGTGCTGTACTTGTTACAGTTAATTTCATTTTCTAGAATTCTGAATTTAGTATTATGGGAAAATGGCCAATATCCTTAGAGAAAATGCCTAACAAACAAAATTTTATGTATACCCAAAACGTTTACTATTGGAGAACTTGGGGTAGTGACAGTCTATGGAGGTAAAAGTTATTTATAAGACCTCAAATCATTTATTACCTTTCATGATCTATAAATCTGTTAATCACAATTCCCAGCACAGTGCACATGCAATAAATGTACTTTTCCTCATAAGCATGGGAGGAGATGACAGGAAGACCTACATGCTTCAAATTTACTGCAATCTAAAATTTAGATCTTACCTAGAATTAAATTATTTTTAAAATGAGAACACAATTCAAGCTTTCTTAGAGAAGTACAAAAAACCCTTATATAAGTTTATATAAGTATTTCCTTCAGAACAATTTCCAAGTAAAAAATTATCTGGGGAAGCCAAATTCTCAACAGGATATTTGAGAAATGACGTTTTAATATAAGACCCTTTAAATTACATAACAAGCTATATTTTTAAAAAGTAACTCTAGCAATAGCAGAAAACAATTAAGAAACTTGAGTTCGTTACAGCCAAAGTAGAAAAATAAAACAAAATAAATGAACAAATGAATAAACTTTCAAAAGAATACTCCATATCAACAAGCATAGCAAATTCTTGAGGTTAACACGACTAAGAAAGTTTCTCACAAATAGAAAATCTAGAATTAAAAAACTTTTAGAGCTCAAATATACACAAACTATTTCTTTAATTCTATATAGTAATCATCATCAGTGAACTAGTAAGTACTTGGAATAAAGTTAAACAACAACTTTTAAAGACAGTGAAAGAAAGATTTACATATCTGTAATACAGATTATGGATCAAGTGAGGAATGTTACTAAATAAGACAGCTTGATTCCAACCAAGCAATGTTAGGAACGGCACATTCAGCTTCCAGACAGGGAAAGGTTCCATTCTTTTAAAGAGCAGAAGGACCTATTAAATAATCTTTAAATTTCTCAAAACCATATACGGAAGGGTTAATTGGGCTTCTAAAGATTTACAGCTAATTCTGGGTTCATGTAAAAGGATGGGCTAAATTATAGTAGGTTAAAATTTAAGAATATAATAATTTTATTCACTCAAATTAAGAAAAAGTATTGTTTGCAACACAAATTGACAAGGGAAATAAGAGATAACTTACCCGAAGGTATGCAATGACATAGGTCAGCAAATAACCTCTCTGTCCATTGTCTTCTCCAGCTGCTAATCCACTGTAATTACAGAACAAACAATATATTTCAAATGAACTAATAAAAATATACAAAACTGACAAAACTGATATGACATCTCAAGATAACTGCTTAATAGATTAACATATATTACATTGCATCTCATTTTTATTTTAATCTCATTTATCATAAATATATCAAAGAGCTATCAAAAGAATTAGCTTCGATAAGAAAAATCTGAAAACAATGTTAACATTTCAGTTTGGTGATTAATTTCAAACTTTGATCCACCAAAACTAATAAAACTGACTCATATGAACTCAATCATATTGTCAACAGAAAATCAGCCATGAGAAACAAGCTTAAGTAATCTTCATAAACATAGCAAGTTAACTTAAAATACACTTATTTTATTTATACTATATTCTACTCATAAATTCATGTATTGTTATAGTCTTATTCATACATAAAGATCTACAATGATTGACTAGGATCTTCCAAATACCAAGAAGTTTCTTGAATACTTGAGCACACAGTGTTTGGAGTATTAGATATGGTGTTTATTTTATGGAACTTATGACTTAAATGAGAGACAAAATATACTTAAACAGAAATATTAAAGTTTATGAAGCAACATATAGACAAGTACAAGACCAAGAGGTACGGTCTTATTACCACAAACACATGAGCTATCCATTTCAATTTGAAAGCAGTTTTATCCATAGAAACTGAGATCTAGTCACAATTAATCCCATATAACACAATCCAGTCCAAATGCTCTGCTTTGTGAGAGTCATTCCTATTTTAAAAGACTATGAATGATTACTGATTTCTACTACTTCAGTGAAGAGTTTTTAATTTTGCTTTTTTCCATCATCAGGCAGAAATTAAATTTTAACTTTTTGTTTTGTTTCATTTTTTGAGGAAGATTAGCCCTGAGCTAACATCACATCTGCCGCCAATCCTCCTCTTTCTGCTGAGGAAGACTGCCCCTGAGCTAACATCCATGCCCACCTTCCTGTATTTTATATGTGGGACGCCTGCCACAGCATGGCTTGCCAAGTGGTGTGTAGGTCTGCACCCAGGATCCAAACTGGCAAACCCTGGGCCACTGAAGCAGAATGTGTGAACTTAATCCCTGCACCACTGGGCTGGCCCCAAATCTAGCCCCAAATTTTAACTATTTTCAGTTAACAAAATAAAACCCCAACCTCACAAAGCACCCACTAAAAGAATCCCTCAATAAAGCCACATAAAAAGAAAAATATCTTTTCCCACGACTTTCTTGGATCACAAATTGATGATTAACTTTTATGTCTCTCTTCTCAATACCCTTACTGCACCTCCTTGGCTTCAGAACACTAAACCCTTAACCACGGTGTCGCCCAAGACTCAGGTCTTGAGCCTCTGTGATTTGAGCCTCTTCTGGAAGAATAATTTCTCTTATGGCTTCAGTTAACACCTTATACTTAAATCCTTTCTTCCTGGCAAGTTTTCCTTGGATTTGGCAGTAAGTAAATAATGCAATGTAGATGCACCCTTGTTCTATACAAATACTGTAAGGCAATTTTAGTCTAGAATATATGAGCTATATCAGATTTCCTGACTTAGTTATAGCTGGATCTATATGAATTAGTGTCATCCAGGAGTGACAGACTTGACAGGAGGAGCTCTAGTCTAGAACTACTTGCGGGTGGGGCATAATGAAATGAAAGGGGTCATCTGTATTACTACAATGTTAATGAGTGGAAAGACAGAACTTAGGTCAAGCAGCTGAGAGTGAAAAGTAAGAAGAAACAGAAGACAATTCTGGATTGGATGTGTACGGATCTGAGGTTGGGGTAGGAAGTCAAACGAGGTTCCAAAACAAAAAGAAAACTATTTAGAAAACTGCTGTGGCAAGTGTTTGGAGGAAAATAGCAAGGCCCATACTTCAGGTAGACATGAAACAGAGTCAGACACTGAGTACAAGAGAGAAAAAACATTAGTGATCCAGGAAATAGAAGGAGTTCATCCTGGGCCTATTAGTAGAAGGAAAGGAAAGGAGAGGGAAGACTAGGAAAAGGTGCAAGAGACCTACGCTGGGCATCTTTGAGAAGGCGTACCCTAAGTATGCATTTGGTGAGAAATTACGGGTATGAACATGTAGTAGACCTGTCTCTCTTAGATGAGGATGCGAAGAAGTCCTACTTTATAGCCCCAATCAAGCTATCTTTCTTTAGACCCTCTTCTAATACCTGGCGGGGGCGGGGTGGGGGGAGTGGAGATCTGTTCCACCTTGGAATCCTGTGTGACAAACCACACGAAACATGCATTTTCTTATCTAAAGCAGGAAGAAATCAAATGTCCTTCGTAAATTCATAAATCCAAAAGGAGATGAAAAGTCATTCTGAGTTTGCTTTTCTGAACCATACTTTCCCTGCAAATTTAGTTTTTCAGAACTTTTCTTTTTTTAGCTTTCAGATTTGTCTTCTAGCCAGAATCACCTTAAAAATATAATACATAAAATAGTAGGGCTTAGAAATTAGAAGCTTCTAACTTGCCACTTTTGCAGCCACTCCAAAAAACTATACTTAGAGTCAAAGTGCTTTATGTTAAAGTAGCAATATCCATCCCCTACTTCCTGCTCCCACCACAAATTTCAAACATCAATAACAAGGTTCTTAAACAAATTTAAAGCTGTTTCATGAAGGACTGGGAAGACAAATGAAAGAGGGATGAGAGACAATCTTTTTATATAAAAGGGCCATCTGTTGAACCTAATCACTCTCCTGTTGAATTACATTAAACTACTTAAGCACACACTTTGAAAATAACAATAACATATTACCTTAACTTCTATGGTAAATGTCAATACATCCGTCATGATTGCTGACAGCTAATGTTTATTCTGCTTAGCTCTTAGAGAAGTTAAAGGACATTACCAGCAAACACAGATAAACAACCAAAGTATGATTACCCAACATCTGGCTATCACATTCTGTTGGATCATATGTGTTCAAAAGTATTTAACTGTGTTAGGGCAGGGGTGGAAGGCAAGGAGGACAAATGGCTAAGATAACACACAAAAATATACTAAACTGTTGGAGTAATTCATTAAAAACAATCAATTCAAAGCTAATGAGGTGGTGGGAACAGAGGATAAAACAAAAGAACAGAAATTAATAATGCCCTAATCCAAAATAAAATACACGAGCTAACTCACTTACGAAAACTTTAGCAAAAAGAAATTTAGTATTGCTTTCCTCCATTTAGTTACACAGAAGGAGAAATGATTGAGAAGCAATGGCTGGCAGAGTGGCATCTTAAATAAGAAAAACATCCCTGCATCGTTCCATGATTAGAACAAAGAACTAGTGTCTAGAGAACTGGGGGAAAACCAGGTCGTCTGCTAGAAAACCACACACAGATATTTCCAACTATCAAAAAATCAAAATCTGCCTAATGACAGCCTGGGTTGTTCAACACTGAAGATTTCTGCATCTAAATGAAGTGAGGCAGGATGAAAGCACATTAAGAAACTAATTATAACATAACTAAGAAGTAGCAAATAACAACAGCAAAAGAAAAGAGACTCCCAATCAGGGTCTAAGTTTCTAATACTTCACCCTTGCTTTAAATAAACATCTCATTTACTATAACCTATTTTTAATGGATGAATTTGACACAAGTTTTCGTCAGTATAAGCAAATTGCTGAAATTAAATCAACAGTTCTGGGGCATAAGTATGTAAAGAGACCTGGATTCATCTTGTGTTAAGATTCATTCTTACTTTGAAGTTGTAAATTGGCTGGTGTTACAAGAGAAAAACAAAACTGGCATTACATGAAAAGACAATTCATGACAGCTGGTGGCTCATATTAAATAAATCTGACAAAATGGATCTGATAAAGACCTAAAGATTAAAATACACTATTTTAAGGGCAGCATAATAATTAGGCACAAATGAAGTAGAATAAAAGATGTCAGGGAAAAATAAACTATTCAGTTTCATTAATTCTTTCAACAAATAATTAATCAAGCAACTAGTACATACCAGGCATCAAACGTGATGCTCAAGAAGGGACAGGTCATATCCTACAAAAATTATGTGTGAGGTAGGACAGAAAGGTATTTTTGTCATCATCCTACCCAAGTCTAACAGGAAATGTGGCACGTTACTAACTAGCCATGATTTGTTGGCTACTCTGAATTATAATTATAATTACAGATCCTACAAAGTGGAATTTCTGTGTGTGTGTGTGTGTGTGTGTGTGTGGGCTGGGCGGGGGGGGGGGGGAATGAGGTCAAACTAAGTAAATTTAACCTAATATACAGTGCTTTAAGTATTAAAGCATTCATTTCCCTACAAGTACTTCTTGAAAGTTTTTAAATCCCAATTAAATATTTAAATTTATAAAGAAACTTTTTTTTAAAGTTTGTGTCTAATATTTAAGGCTAGATAGATATAAAAGATGTCATTTAGATATTAAAGGTTTTAAGTTAAATCTCCTTAACTATTTGTTTCTTACTAGTACCATAGGTTTTAAGAAAAAAAGCTTTTAAATCAATTATATATATATAAGTTAGAAACTAAGTTAGAAACTAAAATTAGAAACTACATAAACACAGAAGTTAGAAACTAAAAAACAGGTATGCGTACATTTCAAATTAAAAAAAAATTCACAGATAACCTGAAATTCAAGCCATCTGATCATCAAATAAAGCCTTATAGCACAACTACTCAACTACTTTAGTCAAAACAGCAATAATTCCCAAAAAGGTACTGTGGAGGAGAAAAAGTAAAAGATTAATGAATTTCATTTTTTACTAAAGAAATAAAAAAATTCCACTTGCCAATTTCAGGATAGGGTAAAAACCAAACTGAGAGATTAATTTCTAACACTCAAAAAAAGTACAAAAGTAATCTAAAAATTAAGCCCGAGATTAGATCTTTTTCTGAGAATATTGCAATTTAACATTAAGTTTAGAAAATCCTAAAAATAAAGGGCTGAACATTACATGTGAGAAAAATACATAAAAGTGAGGCATTCTAAGACACCTTGCCCCAAATTAGGTGTTAATTTGTTCTTGTGAAGAACAGCAAAAAAGAAAAAAAAGGAACAGAAGTGAATATTTACAAAGAACGCAGATTAAGCATAATGCATATGATATATTTTAAGCTCTGAAATAAAAAAAAAGACTAGTATTCAGAATACTATAAGTTTATGTACGTTAAAAGGAAAGGAAAAAACATAGTCCTGATAAATGGCATTTTCACTATAGTTCTCATCAATCAATCTTCTAATCCATCAAGCAGACAGACAGAAAACCACCCAATCATTATTCAGTTGGTTATAGACGTGAAATGTTTTCTGTTTCTTTATATCAGCACAGAACAATAAGTGACAGGGGGTGGAGTAGAGATAATTTATCAAATACTTTTGATTAAATACAATTTCCTTTTAAAAACATACTAATAGCATGTTTTATACATATGCTTTAACATTAAATAGTAACATGACTACGAACTTTTTCCTATTTCATGCTAGCACAACAAACAGCAAATATTATAAAATTAGCATTAACGGAAAAACACAAAATATTTAATATATCATATACAGTCATGCTTCACTTAACAATGGGGATACATTCTGAGAAATGCTTCATGAGGTGATTTCATCATTGTGCCAACATTATAGCGTGTACTTACACAGAACTAGATGGTATAGCCACTACCCACCTAGGTTATGTGGCACTAATCTTTTGGGACCACTGTTGTATATGTGGTCTGTCTGTTGTTAACTGAAATGTTCTGCGGTTCATGGCTGTACTATGATTAGACAAGCAAGAGCAACATACCAGTCCAACTTCCTACAATTTTGGAAGTAAACCAAAACAACATTTTAAGTTGACTATCACATATTACCACATATTTAATATAAAAAAGGGTACATTAACAACTGCTTGGAGATATCAGAACTTTAGCTTAATTTTCTCTTGGCATTATGAACTTAAAGCCATACCCAAATTTTGCAGCAATGTCATACACTTGTTTTTCATGTTGAAGAACTTTCTCACGGTCCCCCTCAAACAGTAATGTAGCGACACTTAGCTGATTTGGATCAAATCCTTTAAACTACAAAAAAAATTATTATTACAGATAGTCTTATCCTACAAAATAGTAAATCAAAATACATTTTACTCTTTTTCACTTTTGATCTGGGCTCAAACACACCAACTCTTTAAAAATTGAGCTAAAAGAATGCTTAATGCACCTATTCAGATCATTACAATATTATAAAACTATGGAAAAACATTTCAAAATATGCCACAGTGTCAATTGTAATGACGTATTGGTATGTAAATAAAATAACTTTTAAGTTATAACTCTAGTAAAGAATCAAATAAAACTACCAAAATGCTAGAATATAATACAGAAGTAGAATGTAGGAGGAAAAAAAGAACAACAACTTCTTTTTAAACAGTATTTTCAAAGGAGATTTTCTGTACAAAAATAAAATATAAAACATCTAAGAACAATCTTAAAAGGAAATATATAACTTTATTAGAAAATCATGTCTAAAAAAAATGAGACATACGTTCCTGAAGGCACAAACTAAGTATTATAAACCTGTTAATTCTTGCCAAAAATTAATATACTAGTTTATTCCAATTCTAATAAAAACTTGGATGAACTTTCTAAAATGGTGAAGAGTTTCTAAATTTTTCCAGGATAAACAGGTAGGTGATGGTGATAACAAGGAAAATTCTGAAAAACAGGAGGGAGAACTAGAGCTACAGCAATTAAACCCATTTAATTTTCAAGAACAAAGGCTCATTAAACAGAATTTGATATTTTAAAATGGAGTCTATTTCTTGGATTAGTATATAAGAAGATGTCTTAGACACGGCAAATCAATGTGAGAGAAGCAAGGCTTCTTTAGTTAACGGTGCTGTCACAACAGGTTAGCAATTGGGAGAGCCGGAGGTGAAGCTTAATTGAGGTCTTTCTCTCACATCATAAAATTGACACAAATTCAAATAGTAATAAAGATAAAAAATATATATTTTAATTCCAATTTAACAAAAAAGCAAGAGAGAGAAGAAAATGATCCTAATCATAGTTCTGGAGGAAGGAAGGTTTTTCTGAGCTTAGAAGTAATTAAATCATCACAGGAAAAGATATAAAAATTTGAAACTTTTGCACCAAAAAGAGAAATTCTTATTAAAAAGGGAGTCACCTCACTGGAAAAATTATTTACATTTATAACAAAGGCATCTAATAACCTCATTATTCAAAGGGCACACACTAAAGCACCAAAGAAAAAATATGAAACTGTCATCCCTGGCAAAATAACCATATTCAACTAATTCACTCAAAAATTACATCTAGGAAATACAGGGACATGGTCAGTCTCATTGGAGTTTCAAGAAACATCAACTAAAATAAGGTACTATTTTTCTCCCTGGATTCAGTAAATTTAAAACAATAATCCCACAGGCAATAGCAAGAATTCAACCAAAAAATGACACAGGAGTGTTGCTGGCAGTAGTGTAAGCTAGTATAACCCCTTAGGAAAGGAACTCGGCAATCAAAAGTGAAAAAAAGAAAAATCCATGCTCTTATTTCAGTTCCCGATATCTATTATAAAGGAAAAATTTCAAACTATATAAAACGTTATATGCACAAAATTGTTCAATGCAGCGTTATTTTTAGGAACTTCAAACCTGGAAAAGAATTTAAAATTTCTGAAATTTAACGTATGATTGATTTACTTAACACAACATTTATTCCAATGCAAAAATAATCATGAAATGCACACAGCAAAATGGAAAAACACACTTATAATAGGTGTGAGGGGAAAAGGAAACAAAATTAATATCCTAAGCATCTAAAATTTTAACATTTTATAAAAATTCTTACCTTTGTAATATAAAACTTTTTTAATCCATCCAAAAATGATGTAAAAATAGAGGAAACCTGAGGTTTAAGAGCATGACCTAAGAAGAAAAAGAGTTCATATTTTAAATTAGTAAGAAAGTCTACGTTTTTCAGAAGATCAAGAGGCTACTTTAACTTAGTATCCTGAATGCAAGCGAACATTCTCATGACTTCAATTTCTAAAATCTCCCTGTTATATTTATAACATATTGATACTAAGATCTACATCTTTTATCTTTATCTTCTTTAAAAGCCACAAACAATTTTTTGTTTACAAAATTCCTTCTTGGTTTTTTTTTTTTTTAACTCAAATTACTATATGTAATTAATACTACACGTAGTTTAGGTTATCTTTCAATTGTATAGTAAAAACACTTCATTAATTTTTATTTCATTAAGAACACCCAGCGATGGCTGGTTTTACTTTTATTTTTTAATTATGCAGAAACCATTCAGAACTATAACCAAATATGAAGTCAATACCACATTTAAGGTTGTTTCTTAATTAATTCTTAATTCATCCAGAATTCTTGGCATAAAACTAGTAATTGCTTCCTTAATCACACCCGGAGAGTTAAAACTGCCAAAATAACATAAAGGGTGTCTCAGAGTCTGTTAAATTAACATCTTTGCCTGAGGATTGAGCTTAATTGAGTGAAAGTCTTTTACTGTTTTCTCATTGTTTTCTGAATAGCAACTTCTTACCTCCCATCACTGCTACATTTAAGTCATGCATCTGGCCTTAGTGCTCTGAGCCCAATTCAGAAAAATGTGGTATACCATTTACATAGAATTTTCATAAAGAATTTTAAAGTCTAATAAATCTACAGTTATCTCCAAATAAAAATTTTATTTTTAAAAAAGGCTTTAAGGTTTTGAGATTTTCTTTGTTTTTAAAGTGTAGGTCTCTTCTTTAAAATAGGTACAAACAACAAACTAGTTTTTTGGAAAAAAATTTCTTGGGGGAGAAAAACATTACTGGCAGGTTCCTTTCCTCATTCATCTATTTTTTTTTAAAGTGAGAATCTGAATCTGTAGTCTTTATTATACCTTTTCTGATTCTCACAGGAAAGTGTATTAAATAAAAAAACAAGTGACAGTAAGTCTTGACCAGAGGCCAAGAGTTAGATATCCATACTATAGCTAAACTGCGCAAAAAACAAAACAAAACTCAAGGACAGATTTTGAGCTCCTGGATCACAAGTAAGATGCTTGTTTGGGGAATTTTTTTTCTTTTACTGTAACCTATCAGAGATGCTTCTCTAGCATAACCAGTGCTTTAAAAGACACCATTTCTAGCATATATAAAGTCAGAAATAACATATCATCAAAATATTCATTTTCTGTCCCAAATGGAACTCATCCTACTTTAATGACAATTGGAAATAAATATATAAACATAAATGTATGTGTGCGTTGTGTTCTTGCAAGAAACTGAAATTATCTGTTCCTCATACAGATCTTCTGATCCACATATCTTTACACAATGTATGAGGACTTCTGATCCACGTATCTTTATACAATGTATGATGTGGAATAATCCTTAAGGGTATATGCTCATCTTAAGACACTGAAATTTATATGCACAATTTCCATTAACACTATGGGAGTTAGTCACACATATCCCTAATACTGAGTTGACGTGATAGCTTTGAAGTATAGTAATTGTAAAAGCCTTACTAACTTTTAAGTGGGTCAAGCATCAGTATTAACTAAGAGGATATTACTATTTTTTACTTATTCTTAAATTAATGCTGCCTATCAAATTGATTACATTCTAAATATATTTCAGCTATTGTGTTTTATTGTTTTACAGTAATCAAAGGAAATATTTTTAAAATTTATTAGCTTGACAGTTTGATTAGTGAATTTTGTGTTGTTACAGTGTTAACTGAATAATTTAAAAGGATTTAATAAATACCTGCATTTCAAAGAAGTGATCTGAGACAGTGGAATAAGTCCTGAGCTTTGAAGGCAGACAAATTTGGTTCAATCCCAGCTCTATCATGTGTGACTTGTGGACTTTCGCTGAAATATTTAGCCTTTGAGTTGTCTGTAAACTGGGAATACCACCTTGAGGAATGGTTGTGAGAAGGTATTTGGTAAACTGTGCTATTGACAACATGCTAGCACCACGCTGTGTGCTAGCCAAGATTTCTTCACCCTCTTTTGCTAATTTGATGATTAAATCAATCAACATCTAAGTGCCTGTTATGTGACATGTACAGGAGATATAAAAATAAATAAGAAATATGCTCTAAATTTGACAAACTAGTTTACAAAGGAAATCTATAGAACATTTCATTATACTCAGTGATGTACATCATTTCAACATACCAAAAATATATCATTTCAACATAATGTACTAAGGGTTGTATCAGAGGTAGGGGTGACATTAAACATATTAACAATTAATAATAGGGCTTGTGCTTGTTAACAATCACTATGGGACAAACACTGACCAATCGGTCAAATGGCTGGGTCAAGGTCCTGGACACCCCTTGCTGTGCTAAGTGTTACTCCTAAGTTTCTTTTTTAACTTTTTTTTTTTTTTTGAGGAAGATTAGCCCTGAGCTAATATCACATCTGCCGCCAATCCTCCTCTTTCTGTTGAGGAAGACAGTCCCTGAGCTAACATCCATGCCCATCTTCCTCTACTTTATATGTGGGACACCTGCCACAGCATGGTTTGCCAAGTGGTGCCATGTCCACACCCGGGATTCAAACCGGTGAACCCCAGGCCAACGAAGTGGAACGTGCGCACTTAACCACCGCTGTGCCACCAGGCTGGCCCCACTCTTTAGTTTCTTGATCATACAGCCATGGCAGGATATATAGATGGAAAGGCTTCAATGGGTACTGAGAAATCAAAAAAGCTATAGACAACCAAGATACATGATCAGATCTCTGTTTCCAAAGATCAGTCTGCTGGCCAAGTAAAGGGCAGAGGGAGAGGAAACACAGTCAAGACTAGAGAGGGTAGATCCCACCGCAGAGCATGTTCCTAAGGTACTTAGGTGCAAGTACCTAAGCACAGTACTCAGAACGTGGAACAGGGATGACACATAGCCAGAAGGATCTTTTCTTTAAAGCTTCATTTTAAATTGTTATAGATTCAAATTATAAATAAAATCTGGCCAAATCATAGTTAATTTTACGAGGGTGTCTATGTCTAACATAATTTACTACAATAACAGCACATAAATGGATAACACAGCCTTTTAAATCAGATACATGGCTCTCTTCCGACCTATTTCTCTGCAGGCCAAACACACAGGAGGCTTGATTTTCATTTAACTAGTTCATTATTTATAGGACACATTTATCTTAAACTTTTATCAGTAGTATAGTATTTTGAAAGTAATTAACTTAAAGAAATAAAAGCTGTGACTGACTTAGAAGACTCTACTTTTAAAACTACTCTTGATACGTTATGAACCTGATTTCCTTAGTTAAGTTTCTTTATAACTATAATAATCATTTTTCCCTAAATTAAAATCTAATCTACTCTTAGAACAAACAAAAGCCTGCCTATGTTACCCTTTAGTATTTATTACTGAGCAATCGCTCCCATAATTTCAGGGACTGTTTTGAGGGTACTTAAATTCCATAAACTTAAATTCCAAACTAAATTTCAGCAGATGGAAAAAATATAAAAGCAATAAAACTAGAATTGAAAAGATGATAAACTGTGTCAGAAAGTTTAATACTCTAAAGCAAAATAGGGAGAAAAAGAAGCAAGGTTAACTGTTACTGAATTCTCCACCTCAGTATTCCAAGGGCACCTTAAATACAACCTGTTGTAATGCCTTTTCCCCAAATCAACATCTCTTCTTCTGGACTGTCATTCAATCCACCCAATCAATCAAATTAGAAACCGGGGAGTTACCCTCAGCTCTTCCCTTTACGTAACCTTCCACATCCAGTTGGCAAACTGATCTTTGAAAAATCTGTCCCTTACAAATCCTATCTCCACTGCTGCTGCCTGGATCAAGGCCCCCAAAGTTTGCCTCTTAAACCGTTTCAACTCCTCCTCCACGCCTGCACCATTCTAATTCACCCTGCATACTGCTAACAGAACAAGCTTTGTAAGATGTAAAGCTGATTTATTTTATTCTCTCTACAAAGAAATCCCTCTGCTGACAACATAAAATCCAAACCCATCCTGCCAAGCCCGAATCCACCCATGCAGCTTCATCTCCTAACAACTCTCACCCCACCCGCTATCTGAGTCACACACAACTATGAGAAGTACCCTAAAACACGCCAGTGAGGTTTTAAAACTTATTTTTTTGTTAAGTGAACAAATTTCACAAGAGAGAACAGACTGCCTCAGGCGAACTTCTATTCACCCTTTAAGAGTTAGCTCAAGCATCACCCTCCTTTAAGAAGCTTTACCTGACCCAACCCCAACATCAAGTAAAATGCAGCAGGATCAACCATGCCTTTGTTTGCAGCCCAGGGTGGCCAGCGCATCACCAACCTCCTGCACTCATGTAACTATCTGTCCTCGTTAGACTGAGAGCTTCCTGAAGGACAGGAACTATGACGTTCATCTTTCTAACTCCGCACCCAGTACTCTTCCAGACACACAACTAGGGTTTCATAAATTTCTGTGACTTAATGAGCAGATTTAAAAATTACTGCTCCTTACTTACCAAACTGAAACTGCTGGTTGTCCATGAGGCGTATAGACGCAGGCGCACATCTCTGTTTTAAAAAGAAAACAATGTGATACAATTTAATATGGTAAAGAAAATAGGTGAGTAGAACATGAATGTCCTCTTTCTGTATTTGAGATCGAGCTTAGTTCCTAACGATATATATAGGAAAAAAATATTAACTTTTTATATAATGATATGAAGACAATCAAAACATCAGTGGCTTCTTTAAAGCATCTGGAGAGGAAAAATCTACATACCTAATACAAACATTATATGATGCCAGATCTTTAATTTATCTGTAACAAGATCTGCTTAATGCCTAGCAAAGACCTAGAGAATTAACTAAAAGAACTAGTAGGCCTCAAAGTAGATTGTTTTAGAACAAAGTAGAAATTTTAAAGACTAAAATCAATGCCTGGAGCATTATGCCATTTATGAACTATAATGTGTCATCAGGTCCTTATATAGTTTTGAAATGAGGAAGATGATGGTGGAATTTTTGTGAGCTTTCAAAACTTATCTGTAATGTCTTCATAGACAAGTCTAGAAATTATTCTTTCTTTTTATCCCTTCTCATAATCCATTTTAAATAGAAAAACTATCAGACGATGTCCAGAATTCTAAGATCTTTCAAGGTGACTTGTATGAAAATAGCAACAAAACTTTGAATCATAAGATGATGCACCTAAACCATCTAAAACTGCACCAGTTATATTTATCTAAGCACATGCTCAAAGCTGCAAGGAAAGGAAAACAAGGAAATCATATACACATATTAGTTTTGTGATGCTAAAAACTACAATACAAACAATAGCAAGGTTTAAGTTAGCTATAATTTTTCCATAGAATTAAAGTGCACTGCACCCTAAATGGAATTTTTAGTTTCTACGCAAATCTTTTTTTTTTTTTCCTTGAGGAAGATCAGCCTTGAGCTAACATCTGTGCCCATCTTCCTCTGCTCTATATGTGGGATGCCTGCCACAGCATAGCTTGATGAACGGTGCCATGTCCGCACCCGGGATCCAAACAGGCAGACCCCAGGCCACCAAAGTGGAACGTGGGGACTTAACCGCTGCGCCACCGGACCAGCTCCTCTAGGCAAATTTTTAACATGGTTAAACATCTACCAAGAGAGTGCTTTTAGGCCACGAAATTTTGACTAATGTCATAAACTTTTTAAACATTTAGCTGAGTAACAACATTTATCAATAAAACTTGAATCAACACAATGCTGAGATTTATGACAGTCACTCAGAAGAACAAAACTTAACACATATCTTAACTGCGCATTACATTTTTGCTATTATTTGCTTTTAATTGAACAAATATTTAATTTTATAAAACCACTCACAATATACATTTTATTTCACCCAACAAAATGACTAGTTAGATTCTTATTTTGAACACTATACAATTTATTTATTCACCTTTGATACTAAAGGTGACATAATTCAATCTATATATAAAAAAATCACTGCCAAATCTAAAGAAACACTATTAGGTAATTTTATATACACAGAGTAACAATAACCTATTGCCTTACATTTTATAGAATCCTATGGCTTCCAAGCTGCTTTCATAGGTCTTTATTTAATATAAGAAACAACCCTGTCAGAGTAGCAGAACTGGTATTATCCCCATTTTATAGCTGAGGATACACAACCAGAGAGGTTGAAAGACTTGAGAGAGGTCAGGTGACTGTATAAACAGTAAAGACAGAACTAGGACCAAGACACCCTGACTGCTAGATGAGCACATTTCAAATACACCACACAGCATCCAAAAACATCACTCAAAACACACAAACACACACAGACAAGAGCTTTAAAGTCATATTTGAAACAAAAAAAGAAAATTACCTTATTTGCTATTTTGTGATCTTATTAAAAGAATAATAGTTACAAAATAAAGTTTAAAAATCTACAACCTAAGTAACTTCAAATCTTGGTATAAAGGTATCTTTGTCGTTGGGTTAATATTTCTAAAAATGTTACCAGTTTCCAAAATACTAAAGTAAAATCAATTTTCCTGAGATGCTTTAATAAAACAGGCACATCAACTAATAAAACATATGAAGCCTGATTAGACCAAGTTTCTTTTCTTTATATAATAAATAGAATATCACATAACATACATAGCTTTGTATTTTGGCTTCAGTACATCCGTAAAATATGAGACAGAATTAAGAGCCATTCTGTCATTATTGGGGGAAAAAAAAAGAATTTTAATTCCTACCAACAACTTGTAAATTCCATCTCCTATTATCACCCAGATTCTACTTTACCAGTATCTATAGCAGCTGCTATTAATGAAAACAAGCAGCATGGGTATATATCAGAAAATGTGGAAAATGTATATTACATTTAGTATAGTAAATTTCTAGCGGAGTTCAGTCTCTAAAACAACTAAAGCACAATATGCAGGCCTTGAGAAAATCTTGGTTTGAAAACACACAAAATACATTTTGGGGACAATTGGACTCATCTGATTATAGAATGAATATTAGACGGCATTAAGAAATTACTGCTGATTGTCTTAGACATGATAATGGTATTATGGTCATAAAGAAGAATACCCTTATTTTTAGGAGATGTATGCTGAAACATTTAGAAGTCAAGTGTCATACTGTCTGCAACTTAATTTCCAATGGTCCAGAAAACATAGATACAAACAAATAAAACAGAGCAAAAAGTTAACAATTGTTGAATATACAAGATGGATATTCATGTGATCACTGTACTCTTCATTCAAGTTTTGCTTAACACTGTCAAATTAAAAAGTTGGAAAAATAAGTAGGAAAGCTTCGGGGCACTCACACATAGAGCAACTGATAGTGAACTCTACTGAACATGAGTTTAAGTTGACAGCTGAGTCACATAAACTAGTCAGTCATCTACTATTCCTATTCATACTGACGCAGGGCAGATGGTTACAGACACAGACTATCAGAAAAGAATAAGAAGCTAAAGAAAGCCTTTTGTATCTAGATAATAAATGCTACATTAGTTTTCAACACTGACTTATTACCAAAAGCAAACCAACAGCTTTACTGAGTCTCACGTTTTAACAATGCCATTTTAAAAGTCAGGAAATAGACTTTTTCAGTTACTGTCACAAACACGTTCTCATAGGCAAAGCACTCAAATTAAAAACAGCATATAGATTGCTTTACGATCCTCTAACAATTGATAATTTGTAAATCAAAGCGCATCATTCTAAAAATACAAAGCGGGCAAAGTCTTCTCGAATTTTAAACTCAAAGGTGCCACTACAGCTAATTAAACAGAAGTTCCTGTAATCAAAAGACTAAAATATGTTACTATTCTTAAAAAACGACATTCAATCTGTTACTATACCTGTAGTTAAGGCTACGTTATGTTTCAATTAAACAACCTCAAACTTTTTCCTTTAGAAGTTAGAGACATCACAAATTCTGAGAATTTGAGCTCTAAATTCACTCCCAGGCTCTTCAATTACATTACTCTGAGAATATTACATAGATGAGGAAAGGGAAAAAGGGTCCTTGAGTTAAAGTGACCCCTGGTGGTAGGTGATCAGAACTAACCTGAGAGGAAATATTTTTACTAAGTAATTTTAATGGTGGGTCAATGATATATTCGGGGAACTTGAAGAACATTCAAACAAAAATTGCATACTCAAACTGGAGTTAATGAAATAACTCACTTCTTTCCTACTACGATAAATGTGCCCTCACTAGAATCTCTCATGTCACCTGACTTGTACCTAAAGTGTACTTTGTAACATCACTAAAGAGAAGAAATTGCCAATAATTTGACTTCGTCTTATAACTGTGCTTTGAGGTCATTGTAGTTATTTATTTATTCTTTTCTCAGATAAAACAAATATACTGATATTTCATTATTAGTCCATATTGAATTTTCTCATATCTTTTCAGACTATTTAGTAAAATATAATCAGGAATTACTTGAACATATAACTTGAAAAATAAAAAACAACCACTCTGATTAGTCTTATTTACTTAGTAGAATTCTCTTCATTAACTTAAAAAGCAACAGATTTCTCAATCTAACCATTTTCTCCAAAAAATAGCCCCTATAAGAAACAAATCAGGGGCCAGGCCAGTGGTGCAGCAGTTAAGTGCGCACGTTCTATTTTGGAGGCCTGGGGTTCACCAGTTCGGATCCCAGGTGCAGACATGGCACTGCTTGGCAAGCCACGCTGTGGAAGGCATCCCACATATAAAGAAGAGGAAGATGGGCACGGATGTTAGCTCAGGGCCAGTCTTTCTCAGCAAAAGAGAGGAGGATTGGCAGATATTAGCTCAGGGCTAATCTTCAAAAAAAAAAAAAAAAGGAAAGAAACACATCAAAAGATTTCTGCAAAATTTGGGTTTTTTTGTTTTTTTTTTTAAAGATTTTATGTTTTTCCTTTTTCTCCCAAGCCCCCCAGTACATAGTTGTATATTCTTTGTTGTGGGTCCTTCTAGTTGTGGCATGTGGGACACTGCCTCAGCGTGGTTTGATGAACAGTGCCATGTCCACACCCAGGATGCGAACCAACGAACACTGGGCCACCTGCAGCGGAGCGCGTGAACTTAACCACTCAGCCACGGGGCCAGCCCCTGCAAAATTTGTTTTTATGAAACTAAGTCATATCTCTTATTTGTCACAGAGAAAACCAGAACTTGCACTTCAGATGAGACACATTCTTTGAGAATATCTCTCTTAGTTTATTAGTTACTGGCAGAAGAAATTCAATATTAACATATTTTAAATGCCTGCAGGATTTCTACTATTCTAACTTCATAAAGATAAACTATAAAATATAAACACTGAATGGGAGTCCTATATTTTTGGTACCTTGGTTAACGAATAAATCATCTTTGAATTGAAAAGGTTTGTTTCTTCAAGGAGTAAATCAAACTTTCTGTATAGACTCTAGAACAGCCCAAATTCCTGAGCCTTACAGACTATTCTGGGGATAGCCTACTAATCTCATACTGTATCAGAAGCCAATGCTCCAGTAACAAACCCCTTGTACATAGCTATACAAAAATGTAAACAC